GCATTCCTAGGATGTTATAATGCAATACTAGAATTGTTTCCACCATATTGTTTTGTAATTATCACAGTACTTTCCATAACAAAGTAGTGTCTTACGAATGAGTGAATGGTGCCGCCTGCTGTGTGAGCGACTTCAACAATAAAAGAAATAAAAAAAAAAACATATACTTGGCGTGTTGCTAGGGGAGAGGCTATATTTTTTGGCAAATCACGTATTCTATCCAACATCTATTCCCGTCACAGTTGCGTGATATTCGGGGATATTTTAGAATAAAGAGTCAGGGAATGGTAATCTTTCTCTGATGTTAACGGAGGCGTGAAACTTAACTGAACCCATGGACAACAAATAATGCGGTTTTGTTCGCAAAATAGAGCCGCGAAAAAGATTTTACAAACTCCGAATTATTTTCTGAACTATGAAAATTACTCAATGAATGCTTATTTTCGTTGGACGAAAATTCAGAAGTACAAAATACCTGACATTGAGATTTTATGAAAAAGAATATACTTGAAAACATTTAATGTAATATTGACGACAATTTATTTCCTACTAAAACTTAAATTCAAATGTAAATTACGTGTTATAATTTTCGTCGATTATTTTCATAAAAATATATTAAAAATCTTTGATTAATGTACGAATTATAGAAAGATATAAAGCTTCCGCGCCAAGTTCAGGGTTTGTCACACATTCCTACATTCGGTGCTTTCTCAACTATCAACATACTACTTTCTCAGAATGGCAGCGAAGATAACTTGATAAATTCTCTACAAATTTTAATGATGTTCACTTCAAAATATTCGTACATCAAAATAAAATATTTTTGTCGAAAGAAAGGTATTCAAAAGGTCTCCGTTTAGAATGCCTTGGACGATTTTTGCTCTATCCCAACTCCTAGGTCGACTCCATCTGCTGTAAGCTTTAACTGCATGTCTATCGTGCTTGCAAGGTGCTCCGCCGTCTCGTAAAAACGGTTCGAAGGCCAAATGCGAATCTCTTGTGGGGCGAGTCGCGTGCGGCTTGTGTGGTGTGATTTCGAGCGGGGAATCGTGATTCTGTTCCTTCTCCGCACACGTCCCCCACCCCTACCCCCTGGTCGGGGGGCGGCGCGGGGGCGGCGCGGGGCGGCGCGGTTGGGGCGGCGCGGGGGCGGCGCGGGGGCGGCGCGGGGGCGGCGCGGGGGGCGTGTCCGTGGGGGCGAGCGCTGGGGGGCGGCGCGGGAGACTGCGAGCGCGGAGGTTCTGCGTGGATGGCGGCGCGGGTTTCTGTTTTGTCGCGTGTGATTCGTGACGCGAAGGAGGACGCCCACAGGAATTTTCATCCCCGCGGGGGAGGCAACCCGCGACCTCTTTCTTCGACGCGATTTATTAATTGGTCGTTTTGAGTTACAGTCTTCGGATTCCTCTTCGTGCAGTCGGGTGACAGTTCCGACGGGTGGCGGATCCAGGGCGCGCATGGGGGCCATGGCGCCTCCAAGGCAGGTTTCCTTCGAGGTTTTCCTTTGTTATCTTCTCTTATTTGGCGAAATTGATTTAAATATTTATTTATGTTAGAATTATAAAATTATTTAAAAAATAGTATTGGATAGTATTTTGAGTACACTACAAAATAGTATACAATATAATAACGAATATATTTATTATTTAACAAAAATCTATGATGACCCCTGCCTTCAAATGATCGGCTGCATCCTCTATTTCCTTTCGCCCATGCAGAAAAGACTTTGTGTGAAATGTCATAAAGCAAAGGAATATCAGACCTTTGAAATACTCGTATCATACAAGATGACTAAAAATGTCCATCACTGTGCCTAAGTTGCTGCTACGGTGATTATTTGTATCTCTATCTTGCGTACAAGTAACAAATTCGCGTTTGTTGGTAATTTAAAATATTTATTAAAACGTTGAAAGTACGATGAAGTATTCAGTTAGGGTAGTCTAATATAAGTACGCTAGGTATTATTTTCTCATAGTTTCCTCATTACAGTGAGCGAAAGTGGTTTTCTCTGGAGAACTTCTACTGTTCATTAGATACACATCCGCTTTCCAAGAATTTATGACTTTGTGACTGTCCAGTCACAATGAAATGTTGCAACAGAGCGTTTTAAGTATTTAGAATTTCACACTAAAGAACTTAAGAATAATAAGTATAGGAGATAATTTTTGAAATTGCTAATGAACGTTGGTGAGTGATATTTTACTTTCATAAGAAATGAATGATTCCGATTTTCACAATTTAGAAATTTCAGAACTTATTGTTGAACGTTCTTAGATGAAAGTGTAATTCTGTCTCTCTTTTTGTTCCGTTAAATTTCGTTTTACGAACGTGTGCGCTAAGAGTGTAAACTTCTGTAAAGCCTAAAATGACTGTGTTCCCGATGAATTGAATGTGTGCCTTGTCTAGAGTAGTATGGTGGTTACATTTCCTTTATTTCTTATTGTGTGAGATGAGAAATTAACTTAGGAGTAAAATGTGTCCTGACATTTAATACGACATTCTGCACATTTCTCCAAAGAAAATCGTACGAGAATACTGGTCAAGATAAACCTGTTGAAATATAAGAATGTTTTGTTCTGCATTAAATTACTCTACACATTCGTATGATTTACTCCCATTGAATTAGAACCAAATTATAAATTATGCAAATATTTAGCAGAATATGTAAATGGTCAAAGAGCATTTTGTAAATAGTCAACTTAATTTTAAAAAGAGTCACTATGGGAGTTTTCCGTTCCAATTCCGCAGTACATTTTATTCCAATTAACTTGGCAATCGTGATTCTCCTGCATGTCTATTTGCACCGAGGGTGGAGGGCGTCATAGAGCGTCAGTCCCCTCTCCCCAAGTTGTTGACACGTAGTCCTTAGTAAAATTCTGGGGTAACGGAAGTTTATATATATATATATATATATATATATATATATATATATATATATACTATAATTTATGATCTATATAGTCATAAATAACTATAAACAAACAAATAAAAACAATTTTTAAATTTAGCCTAAATGGAAAATTCTGTGTAAGAAAACTTTCAAGTCAACGGGACACAGTACCTTTACCTCCTCACCCGCCAGAAAATCTTGGGTGTACCGCTGTCCATGTTGCATCATTCAACTCAGAGAAGAAACACAAAGGAGTGTCGCTACTCACATGTCCTTTGATAAAGCAAAAGAACTTTTAAATGAAGCTGAACGTGATATTTGAAGTGTCACGTTGCACTGACTCGGTATCCAACTTACGCTGCAGATTTCTCAGTTGCAGGAGCACTTGGCCCCAAGCCCGTGCGTCCGTCGAGTTAAGCAGGGAATTAATGGGATTTAAAAATAAAAATTTCGGCTATGTGGGACAGGCTGGGAACGAGTCGAGGCGGAAAACACGTGTCCCAAGCAGTGGGAGGCATGTGGACTGGGCAGCAGTGGAGTGCTGTTCCCTCAGAGGAAAGCAAATAACTTTAGCTTCAAAGAGTTACGTATGGAGCGAAGCTGTTGACAAAAGAAACAGATCGCCAGATTTGCCGCGAATCCTCTACGATCAAAGCCACAAAAAGACCTTCGCATCGGCGGACGACACTAAAGAATATTGTGTTTTTCACTACGATATCTTAACCATGATCTCATGAGGATCTGGGCTCAACTGGAGGAATAAAGTTGTCATTCGCATTTCCCTTGAGATGACTTGGCAATTCGAAGAAGCCGGAAGATAAAGTTGGGGATTAGCTTCAAAGAAACGACGCTTGAAATGTTGCCAGCTTGATTCAGCCTAAAACTGTCTGTTCTTGTAGAGATTTGCTACGAATAACTCAAACCAAGGGTATGAATGGTTACATAATACATGCAGTTTTATGTAACTTAATTTTAAAATAAATTTTAATACTCATACGAGAATAGTTATTTTATAAAATATAAAATAAGCCATTCACAAACCTATTTTAGCTAGAGAATCATTTCATTCGTTTATTTTTGAAATTCATTGAAGTTAGATATGTCTACAGAAATCGAATGACTAAATATTTTAATTTGTGTCCTGTATTTAAATTTGTCTGAATTTCGTAGTATTTGTATCACGAAAAAATATGGCCTAATGTTTTTATCAGTTATTGAGTATTCTTCTAAATAAAACTATAAATTATTTGAAGGAAAAAATAACCTTCTCTAACTTTTGCCTTCGGATAAATGTGAACAACTACTCTCTTTCTCATTTATTGCAGCGACCTAAGCTAAGGAGCAAATATAAACAAATTATATTCACCCAAACCGAAATAAAATTGTTGAGAAAGACATCCAAACACTATACTTTATAAAAAAATGGTCTGTTTGTCTGGCCGTTTTTCTCATTATTTAAAAGTATTTTAAGAGGCAAAAGTACTGCGAGCTAAAATGTGTCGAAGCTTCAATGTCACCCCCCTTTACTTGCGTCCAAGTTTGGATCGATTCTTGATACCGATTCACTTCAAAGTATTTACACAAATGCATGGAATGTGTTTCAGGTCTGCATTTAGCTTTTAAAATAACCTCTGTTATATTCACTCCAATTAACTCTAAATAATAAGTGAATTATGATATTAAAAGGTTCTGTTTTTTTAATTCATATCACTGGCACCAGAAAATGTTTCTACTGCATATGTTAAGATATGGCTGAGGGGAAACTAACTTAAATATTTTTGAGCGAGTTAAAACATCGACGAGATGTCTAAGTATGTAGTTTACATCTCTGATTGAACAATGGTTTTCATCGATAGAGACGAGCCGAGATGTCGCTTTAATAAAAAAAACTAAGAATCGACGAAAATGACGCTGAATCACGTGTATATATATTTCTGGAATAATCATGTGTAAACACTGTGAGGAACACCTATCAATATCTAAAATCTTTGAGTAATTTACAGCCTCGACTAATCTAAAGAAAGCCTGTAGGTAACTCTTATAAAGTAACAATTAGTTTATATGATTCCTTATGATAATAAGTAAGTTCCATGGAAATTAGTTGCTGCCGTGTCTTCATACGATACCCAATCCGATTGCAGTGGGAATTCCAAAAATACGTTTGGTACACCATACATCGTGAGAAAATGGAAAATATATTTAAATTTGATGATAATGAATTTTACTGTTACGTCGAATGCTTGATAAAATCGAGCATATTTCTTCTGTGTCCTGCAATATTCCCAACAATGAACCTTAACAAAGACATTCTTCTATCAAGATGCTTATAATAAGGGCAATCAGTTGTTCTGTAATGAATGTTCTGCATTTCTGACCTCATCTCAGTTCAACCGTTCTCAGTCAAACTGTTTATCCACATTAGCAAATAAAAGTCCGCATTAATTCTGAAGTCTTGTCACTTTTGTAGGAAGATGACAAGACCTCAGAAAATATTAAGCATAAAAAAGTTTCTCTTACCATAAAAAAATTATTACATTTCGAAATAACAGCTCCCAGGACACCGATAATACATGTTCAAACTATTAAATGATTCTCCCGGGCGTGACTATGCAATTAATAAGTAATGGTGACAGTTAGTACGAAAATAATTTACTTATTTTTAGGGAAGCCAGCCTTGAAACATTCTTCAAGCCCACGTCGACCACGACTGAGAGAATTATAGCTTGAAAGCAATGAATGGGGTAGAACTAACTTCCCTGTTGTATTTGTGGATTGTATAAATGTTTTCTTTTGGTACACAATGAGAAGTTCTTGAACCAGTACAAGGAAAACGTGCATTAGGTGTCGCTGTTTTCAGAATGAGGTTTTCTTCGACTCCAACATTCATGAAAATAGAAGAGAGAAGGGTTATAAATTCTGTCAAATACAAATCTTGAAATATTTTTTTAATGTTTCAAATCTCCCTTTTATTGAATGATTATTGTGGATAATATAATTCTGCATAATAGTTAGCCTCATAAAAGTGATTATAGAAAATGTTATTTTTCTCAATTTCTCCTTGTTCCTTTTCTCCCTATACTTTTGGAACGAGGAAGTCCTCGCCACATTCAAATATGAGCGTATTAAATGAGGTACTTATATTAATTATAGTTGTAACAAAATTTACGTATCGAAAAGTGGAGTAAATACCTGCTAGAAGCAATGAGAATATAGTTACAAATACAGATGCTCCCGCGTGTTGATACATTTGGATAAACTGTCAATCCTATACGTTCTCCATTTTCAACTATTCTTCTGGTCGAAATGATGTAAATGGTGATGGCAAAAGTTAAAATCTCGTACTCAGGAAAATGATTTTTATGTATTAGGAAGTCGTTCCTACAACACGATGAAATTAAGAAAAAAATAGTAAACGTAACAAATGTAACAAAAAATGAGTAAATGACAATATTGTTCTTAAATGTAGGCACTTCTGGTATCTCTGTATTTTTTTAATGTAATTCAGAGGTGTTTAGAGCATGAACTATTTGGAATTCAAAAGTGAAAGGTAAAATGTGTGGGGTATATTTTATATTTCCTTTAGTTAAGTAGTATTGCTTTGACGTTGCTCTGCAACCAAAGCGAGTCAAATTGGCTAAACGGATTATAAAATTAAATATAATATTACTCGTACTAATAACCCAGAATTGTTTAAGTATTATGAATGGGAGTAGAATATGGCCGTTTATATTAGAGAATAAAAAGCTATGTATATTATTAGCCTATAGACATTATTAGCGGAATCAAAATTCAACTTACAAGAGTAATATTGTAGGCCCATGAATTTTTGCTCTAAAATCTCTACCATCTCTCCTTTGCCATCACACTTAAGTTATTAATAAAATATACGATTTAGCGTTTTGTGTTTATTTTATAAGAAACAGTTCATGAAACTATTTTTTTATACCTTTTACATTGAATCTATTTGCTTGAGTTACGAAGTTGATTTGATAGTGCTATTGGAGTTGAATAACCAAATCCCCAATTTTCTCGCATCTAGCAAAATAAGGACTCAGAAAAACTTGTTGGAATTATATCCACCAATTGTATAAATTCCTAGTATTTATAATATTTTTCACTCATAAAGTGGTAATTTTCACAGGGTGGAAAGTTCCCCTGTGCCCAGCTAATTATATACCTTTCTTTTTGCACAAATACATTAATACCTGGCACCATTCACATTTAAGGTTTTGGACTAAAATACTAAAGTAAGGCTGAAGAAAAATACTCAAATATTATAAATATGAATGTGTATTGTTACACAACATCAACAAAACCATATATCAGTGCATTAAAAAGGATTTTAAATCACATTAACTACATGTACTTTTGAGGGATCAAGTACTTAATATTTTGTTTAATTTGAAATCTTCAGGGTTTTTTTAAGATATGTTTCTATTTGTTATTTGATCTAACCATGCACTGCTAAGTACTTCATCTTCTTTGACTTTTTCACCTTTAGAAAAATATAAACCAATTATTCCTTTTCATTACTTACATGGATTGTGTGTTCTCCGAAGTAATTCCCTAGCTTTCACAATCTGTTTTAACACAAAGATGTCTTTCTACGAACACACTTCACACGAACATACAGCATTTTAAAAAAGATAGATTCAAAAAATTTTATTATTTTCCTGTTATTTCCTTGGCATTAAGCATGTAGTATTCAGAGAAACGTATTCAGTGAAATACGTGTGAGGAGTGAGGAGCCGTTATTCACTAATTTATCTGAAAATGCAGAGTTTAAAATGAAAACTGAATTGGTGATCAGATTATCAAGCACACTGTTAACAATATTTTTAAACTAAGAGAATTTATTTTTAAAATCAGTTCTTAAAATAATGCATAATAATTATGGTTTGTACATTTTCTGAAGAGATTCGTTGGTTATGAATGCACAATTTCTTCTTTAAAAAGCCAAGTTTGTTTTTCTTAAATCTATCTTGTCACTAATCATTAGACACATACTAATTTGGTAATAGTAAAACAAAAAGTAACGCTATTTTAGAATAAAATATATTATTGTCGTAACATTAATCAGAATAATACTATATGTTATACATTTTTGGGCCAAAATATGTGGTTATTACATAATGAAGCCTAAATCAAGTTAAAATAAAAAAGGCTCTTCTCCTGACTTCAAATGGACACAAATATATAGGCTACAAAATCTTCATTTCTTTAAAACTACATCAATCGTAGAAACTTGGCTGTCCGGGAGACACGCGTCCTACGCATAGTTTCCAACGTTTCGGCCATCTTACTGCGGCCTTCGTCAGGGCAAAATGTCGAACCACTTTCGTCTCCCGGACAGCCACGTTTGCATTGACTCAATGGCGTCGGAAATCGTTTCTCTGGTGGCGTCCCCGCCCCCGGCGTCGTTGCGGTGGCGGCGCTCACGTCGCGGCAGCGGGGGCGTGGGCGTCGAGGGCCTTGACGGCCGCCACCCAGTTGGGGAAGGCGGCGCCGGCGGCGGCACCGCAGCGCACGCGCACGCACAGGATGAGCGAGGCGCGCGAGAGCACGTGGTGCAGCAGGCCGCAGTGGCACAAGTCGTCGTGCACGAGCAGCCGCAGGTCGGGGTCGCGCGCCGTCCAGCGCAGTGCCTCGGGCCGCAGCGGGTTGCCGGTCATGTCGCGGTCCGTGGACGAGTTGCCGCGCAGGAAGGCGCGCATCGCCGCCTCGCTCGCCTCCACGATGCTGTTGTTCTGGAGCACGCGCGCGCCGGATCGGATCGGAGACACCATCAAAGACGGCAGCAGTTGGGACATGGTAAAATACGGTAGCAGTTGGGGCATGGTAAAAGACGGTAGCAGTTGGGGCATGGTAAAAGACGGTGGCAGTTGGGGCATGGTAAAAGATGGTGGCAGTTGGGGCATGGTAAAAGATGGTGGCAGTTGGGGCATGGTAAAAGATGGCGGCAGTTGGGGCATCGTAAAAGATGGTAGCTATTGGAACATGTTTGGGTTGACATCCGTGAATGTTGTGTTAAGTACCAAACCATAATGGTGTAATCTACATTTGTATTACACCCAGGGTAACATATCAGAGTTCCTAGATATTATTTTTTTATATTTAGTTGCTTTTTGACTTACAGAAATTATTTAAAATACTGGAGGTATATTAGTTTCGTCTCCTCCATAATAATAGTTCGTAATTCAGTGCCTTATATTTGGTAGATTTCATTACACGTTGTCTGATCATAGATTTCAGGGGAATACTTTGATTTCAAAATGTTGAAGTTCTTCTAGTTTATTGTAAATGTTCTCCTTCCTAGGAAATGAGAGAATCGCACCACCTGCCAGGATTACGAGCTGAATACGCTTTTACTTTACTCTTAATTCCGTGTCAGAACGTATTACAAATTTGAAAATATTTCACCTACTATTGAGAATATTTGTTCTCCATGGTCGGGAATCTTTCTTTCCAAATATTTTTTGCATTACTTCATCTCTAGTATTTCTAACGAATGAATACAAATGCATATTAGTGAAATGGAAACGAATGAATATGAGCCAGTGTTTATTTTTTCTCAGAAATTCTTCTGGATTGCTGCTAAACGCGTCTAAAGTGTACTTTTATTACTTTATTTCTGAGAAATAGGATAATATAAAATGTGCGTATTTAAGCAAAAATTTAAGAAATAGAAACAAAACTGTCTCAGTTTATTATCTTCTTATCTACCATTTCAACTACAATATCAGTATTGGTAAATTTTGGTGTGTGTGGACTTTTTGGTGGTGTGGATAACTTTACAGAGTTTACAATCGTACTGTATGCGAACATCTAATTGTAGAATGACATTTTAAGGTTTCTATTCACAAAACACGATTTGTGTGATTGTTGTGTACAAATTGATAGAATGTATTGTCTACAGTCTTCCAACGATAATTTTAGGTTTAAGAATATATCGTTCATTAAAAATGCGCACTTGTACATTACCTTAAAATAGGCACCTTGCAGCCATTTGCAGCAGTCTTCCAGCAGAGGAAGAGAAGTCAAATTGTTGAGTGAAAAATCCAAGTACCGAAGCTCGTTTAGCCCATGAAATAAATCTCTGCGTACTTCTCGCAGCCTGTTGCCGTTGAGGCGAAGCCGCTCCAGGTTCCTAAGCCCTCTAAACACTCCTTGCGGCAGATTGGTCAGCCCGTTCCCCGCGAGGTACAGCACTTTCAGGCGATTCATGTTCGAGAACACCCCGTCGGGCAGGGACTTGAGGTTGTTGGCCGTGAGGTTGAGGGATTCCAAGAGCGAGCAGGTAGCAAGAGGCCCCTCTAGACTGGATATGTTATTGCGGGAAGCGTCTAGACGACGCAAACCACAAGGCTCTGGCAGGAAACGTAGGTGTGTGAAGTTGTTGAACCGAAGGATCAGAACTTCCAAGCGAGTAAACGATCTCAACTCATCCGTTGCATTTGCAATACGATTCATAGACATGTTCAACACTTTTACAAGCGGATTAATGTCATGAACAGTCGGCAACGCCGTCAAGTTTCTGCTCGATAGATTGATTTCTCGTGGAACGTCATCGTCCCCAATATCATTACTTTGCTCGGAGTTTAATGAAGCTGCAATGGCTACACATAACGCCAGAACGAACGCGCACGACGAATACATTGCTCCAACTGAGAGATCTGTAGGCTCACTGAATAATATTCATAGTGGGGCGTCTTTTAAGGATCTCGCGGATGTTTCCAATTCGTCGATTAAACATCATCTAGTGCATGTGACGTGCCTTCTCCGTGGCGACCCTAGGGGCGGGGTGACATCACACTCGGAGGTCCAGATGGCACTGGGCTGATGGCGCTGACCGTGGCAGCAGCGGGCGGGGTGGGTGCGTCCTGTGAGCGCGGGCCAATCGGAGGCCGCGGCGCGTGAATTCGGTCAACGACATAATGGCGCGCGCTGGGAGGGAGGCCTTAACGACGTGTGACAGGATGAAAAGGGCGCGAAAAAGGTCGCCGCTGCGCTCGAGAGGTGAGTGGAGGAGGAGGCCGGCAGACGGCGCCGCAGGCAGGAAGTGCGCCAAGACGCGAAACCATTGTCAGGCCGTCTCTGCTTCGATCGTAGTTGAAGATATGTAATGAAACGTAAGAGAATTTTTGGGCGTTGATGTAGAAGAATTAACGTTTTTAAAGAAAATATACTGATTTTTCTTCTGAATAATCTAAAAGCTCACAGAAGTTGAAGATTTGCGAAGTGCAGTAGTTTCTACTGTTTAAGTTAATAATATTTAACCTTAGAATTAATCTATTCGCAGTTTTGAAAATGATTCGTTTGTTCCGACTATTCAATATTCCATTTTGTTATAAGAATCCCTCCTTTACCACATAAAGGTACGCTTTCACTCTCCACTAGAATAAAATACTAAAATACAAAATAGTTATTGGTATATATGTAGTAAATTAAACATAATTGTTACGTATTTGCGAGATGCACGAGCGAAATATATTATGAATGATGTATGTGTTATGCTTTGTCAGATGATGACTTTTTGTAGTATTTTATTGTATTCGAGAGCGAAAGCGTACCTTTGGGTGGTGAAGGAATGCTTATTTAAACTGATGAGAGAAAGTTCACCAAGAAGAAGTATAATTGAAGTACACGAGTAATGAGAAATGTGTATTGGAAGGAATTGAACGTGTGTCAACGCGGTTTTTCAAGGTTGATGGTAATAGATCCAAAGATGTTATTTTAGATAATAGAAAAACATTTCTCAAGCCATGATACACTGTGATCTCGGATTTTTGAAGATATTATAATTGTCCAAGTGATTAATAGCATTTTCTCTCAACCACGCTTTATCAAGAACCCTAAAACGCGTCCTTCAATTAAATTAAAAGAATAATTATATTTAAACGCCAAGACACTCAACCTGGCCTTTATGATGAATTTTAAAGTTTTCTTTATAAGTGAGAAAAATATGAAAGAGAGTGAGTTTTACAATGCGACAATTGATTGAATGTATTGATATAATATGCAAAATTCCAGCAAAAAAGTCCATTTTTTGTTTTAGTGACATTAGTTTAAATTTGTGTATTATTTTTAGTTTTAAAGTGAGTGAAGTTTGGGGCTAGGAACCTCAAAAGGGGGGGAAAAAGTAGTTGTTGGTGAAAAAATGAGCAAGGAAAATGAGTAATTCCAGAGGGAAGCAAGGCAGAGAGGGGGCGGGGCAAGGCGGAGCGGGAATACAACAGAATAGATAGAAGTAGGCTCCACCGAAGGCCGGGAATAGGTGGAATTCCTCTTTTTGTCTAATAAAATATTACGTTAAATATCCAGGCAATGCCTGGCAGTTCAGCTAGAACTTAGACACTTTGCACATAATTTGCGGTTCCCAAAAGCAGTTCATTGTCTTCTCTCCTTTTAGAATATGCTCTTGAAATATCATGTTATATTGTTTCTCTTATTTCGAAATGTGGATTACCTACTTATTTTCTTCACTAATTATTTTCCAAAATGGAATTTCTTGCACACTCTCGTTCTTGTATTCTACTCGTTCTCCTTTTGTTCTTACTATTACCAGTCATCTCATCTCCAAACGCATTACACTCTGATACTTTCCAGACGTGTAACCAAACCGACTTACCACTTGGGCGCTAGTGGTTCGAGCCCCGGCTCGTGCTCTGTGTGGGTGCGAGACCGAAGTGCCGGCGGCGGACGCCGAAGCTGCCGCAGGGCCTTCCAAGGTCGACTCGGTATATTTACCAACAGGCTCCGATGAACGATTGATTCCCAATATTCGCGGCATCTGCGGCCGTCGCCCGCCCTCGCTCCTTTCCTCTCCTCCTCCTCCGCTCTCTCTCTCTCTCTCTCTCTCTCTCTCTCTCTCTCTCTCTCGCATCCCACGTCTCGGCTTCACGGGTTTTCACCCCGTCAATAAAGAACGCGCGAGGTGACAGGTTGCCTTATTAAATGGATGTTAAAGCGATTGTCGCTTGTGTTCTCGATTCTAATATTTTTTTTTACATACATTCAATTACTTTCATGGGTACGCACCGCGGTGACCGTATTACTGATGTATTACTTTATGGCTGTCAGAAATTGTTCTTGCAATTAGTAGAGATTGCGCAAACGAAAACAATGTATTGTTAATGTAATGAAAGAAATACACTATGTGGAGGCTTAGAATATGATAGAAACTATGCATTCATGTACATTTGTCTAATTAATTCTCTTCTGTCCCTTATTTTCATTTGAATTGTGATTTTTCCCCTTGTAAATACGTTTAGTACAGTAGTCGAAATGAAAATAATTGTCCCACAACCTTTCTCTAACCTGTCAAAACTGTAAACTCTTATTTCAAAGTCGTGTGCTATATTTTGCTCCAATCATTTTACCTCTTTGGTATTCAGATGTATTTTTTGTCGAATTGGTTGGTAATATTTATATATTATAACATTCACCCTGAGCAATAAATGCACGCTGTTTTTCATTAAAATCATTCACATTAATCAATAAAATTGCGTTCTTGCTAATCAATTAAATAATAAATTATTATCAGTCCTCCTTTCATTCATTTATTCATTCAACCAGACATGCATTCGCCCATATTCGAACCCCAATATGTCAGAGATTGAATGGTTTGTTGTACTTTTTCAGTAATTTTGTTATTTCATTAATTATTTATTGTCAGGAATATTTTTTACTTTCATTGTTTGTAAATCTATTTCGACTCGCAAAATGTTCCTTTATAAAACGCTGAATATATAGCAGTGTTTGTGTTGGTGGTTGATAATTTAATACTAGTACCCCAAAATTCGTGTTTATCTTTTAGACCCACTGTTTTGTTTACACAATTTAAGAACACTTAAAGAGTTTCTGTCGATGATTTATAAGTATTCTGCTTTCGTTTGCATGAATATTTGTTTAGAAAAAACGCACTTGCGACCGTGACAGGATTCGAACCTGCAATCTTCGGATCCGAAGTCCGACGCCTTATCCGTTAGGCCACACGGCCAGGTGTAACTAAACTAGTGTACTAAAGGCTTTCCAGAAATAATATGAGAGAATAATAACGATGATATATATTTTACTAAGATTTGCAAAACAAGAGAGATACGATCATAATTTAAAACAATACTTTGTTCAAAAATAAGTAATTAGATTATAGAGTTGAAGTGGAGTCGAATGAGTGTAATATGTATTAGAATGAAATTAAAGCAATTTCGTTGCTGTTTCTACTCATGTTTCATTGAATATTTCATGACTCATATTCTTACAACCACCTTAGGTAATTAAAATCATTTCTTAACGGCCTTACGATACCGAAGGGCCAGTACTTTGTAAATCATTTTATAAATGAAAAAAGACTAAATAAAAGTAATTGAAAAGTATAATACCATTTTCTATAAAACAAACTATTTTGTAAATTGCAATTTCGTTCATCGAGGACCTTTTAAAGCTTAAATTAGAAGTATCCAACCAATTTTTCAGGTTTAATTCATTTTCTCTCTTTGGGCCCATGCCTCACGCACGGAAAAGAAAAACTGGTTTTGTCAAGTCACTCTTGCACCCTTCGATCATTATATTCGATGTTGGAGGGGTGCGTGGAAACACAAAGGCTTTAGGTGGAGCCGGCGCGAAATATACAGAAGCACCAACTCCGCACCACCTCAGTCGCACAAAGATGAGTCAGCCAACTTCATCTGTTTATTTCCCAGTTCTGACAGGAGTTGAAGTATACGACAGAACACCAGTTGAAATGCAGGTGGTCGAAAACGTGAAGGAAAGGAATGGGAGTTGAAACGAAAAGCGAGTGGGTGCAGGAGTGAAAACGGAGCGAGAGCAGGGCCAATACGGATCTCGTATTAACGCAAGGCGATGGAAGTGAGTGGTATCACCCAGAAACAGGTTTAAGAAGGGGTCGAGAAAGAAAGGAGCGAGAAGCAGATGATGGGGAAATACATTGAACACGTGTGTGCATAGTAAAAAGGGGAGACGAAACGAGATAGAACGTGTGGGGCTACAATTGAGCAGAAAAATGAGTGCTGGATCCCGAAGAAAGAATTGTTAATTCAGAGAGACGCGCGGGTACGAGGCAAGGGACACGAGGAAAGAGTTGCAAATAGGAATAAAGACGATGGTGAAAAACAAATACGAAATGAAAATATGAAAATAAGTGAAAACGAAGATGCTGGAGGCTGGAAGCACAGAAGGATGCTGGAGGAGCGAGAGAACTGAGAGGTTGGGTGAGACAACGAGAATGGAGCCTTAACGATTGGAAGAGGTGATGTACGAGAGAGAGGGAGGGGGAGAAAGAGAGAGGGAGACACAGCGGGAAGTGAATGCACGGAAACTGAAACAAAAGTAAGAAATATACTATAAATAAAAGAGAATGAGGGATTATAATGGACTCAGGATGACCTCGATTGTGAAGAAGTATCAGGAAGCTCTTGCAATAGGAACAGCGTTTGCTATTCCTAATGAAACTAGTGAAGTAAGAGTAAGGTTGTGAATGTCATGCGGGGTGGGATGATAATGAGATGTAATAATGATCTTGCCTCCCAAGTTATCAAATGAACGAGAAAAGTTGTATTTGGCAATGATTTGAAACTCTTGGAATGATAATAAAAGAACACCACAAGAACAAGCCAACACTTTTTTTTATTGGAACTATAAAAGGGAAGTAGTGAAGGTAATAATTTATTAAACACTTCGCTTTACTCTCGGCTTAAAGGTAAGAAAGTCCAATTTCGCTCTCTCTCCTAACTTCACTATCACATAACTCACGAAAATAATACTAATTGAATTCAATTCAACTTTTTGAAAACGTCAAGACAGATCTGAAACACAAATTAATGCTTAATATTATGAGCAACACTTAGTTTCAATAGATCCGAACGTTCGCGTGAAAATCACGGC